TGCGGTAGGGAGGGGGCGGGGATCGAGGGTCCATCTGTCCCCAGAAGCAGCCTGGGAGTGGGCCGCAGCCCCCCTCTCCGCACACACTCAGACAAAGGCGTTTGAGAGGAAATCCGAGTCCGAGGAGGGGACAGGCGCCCCGCCCCCACTGGGAGCCCAGGGGTCGGAGCCGAGCAGAGTGTGGACGCAGGCTGAGGCGGCTTTCTTCCTACATCCCCCCTCCCCTGTTCCCCTCATGTGTGGCATCGCGTCTGGGGACCCCCCAACGGAACGGTCGTCCCTCCACTGTTGACGCCCCCCTAGCAGGCCTGTGGTTGTGCCCAAGACAAGGGACAGGAGTCGGGGCGACTTCTGGAGGCCCAGTTTTGTTCGTCCGCTGGTGGGGCCTGCACCCAACGGACAGCAGCCTTAAGGGCACCTCTGAAAAATCCAGTGGACTGGGGACCCAGCACCCCGCCTTTCAGCCTGGTGACATGCTGGCCAGGGGCACAGGCTTTGGCATTTGGTTGACCTGGGCCAGCTGCTCTGTCGTGCCCAGCGCGGTGTCCTCATCTCATAGGTGCGGTCATGAGCCTACTTTGCAGGGCTAAGGGAATCCCCAGAAGGCGAGTGCCGGACAGACACGTGGGGAGCCAGATTCTGGCTACTACTGTACCCCCAGCGTCGGCCCGCAGATCAGAACTTCCAAGGCAAGCACCCAAGGCCCTGTTCTGAAAACCTACGTGCCCTGTGACCTTGGACGAGTCCCTGGCCACTCTGTGTCCAGCCCACTGCCACCCCTCTGAGGGCTACGCTCTACACTCTTGCCTTAACGCTTCCTCGCAGCAGTTCCAAAGGCTTCCAAATAAGCCCAAGGAAACCATAGTACTTGGCTCTCCTCTGGGTATAACTGAAGTATGTGCACACACAAGTGCCACCAGGACCCTGCCAGGGCGGGTGACAGGTCTTTCAAAGCAGGATACTGCGGAAAAAGGTGAGCCCTGGGCGGGGAAAACTCCCAGCGCCAGGGGCAGGCGGTCTGTATCTGGGGGCTCCCCTATTTTCCTAGATTCACAAACAGAAGACAAGGAAGCGGCATCCCCCACCCCATCCAAGATCCGGGGTCGACCGTTCGGGGCGTGGGGACTTCCTTCCGCTGTCTCAATTTCCCCATAATGTGCAAGAGAGATTGCAGTGAAATAAGGGCGGGCGCCCCGCGCCCAGCGGATGGGGGGTGACCTCAAACCCAGAGTAGGGCCAACACCCAAAGACAAGAGGGCCTGCCTTTTGGGGAGTGTGTCGCAAGATGTGTCGGGTGTGGGGGAAAGGGGCCTCTGGCCCACACTGCCGGGGACCATTGCCGGACGCCCCCTCCTACCGCGGCGGGGCCCGCGCACCGCGGTAGGGGGCGGGCGGCTCCTTCCCATGGCTCGGGGGCGAGGTCACAGCTCCCCTAGGCCTCGGGGCCCAGAGCGCCGGGGACCTCGACTCTGGTTCCCTCCCCCAGCCCGCCACTGGCACCCGCCTTCACCGCCACGGCTCTCGGAGGAGCCGGAGAGGA